GTACCTATACATGCATTTATATACAGTAACAGTAGCACACTTGCCCTTGCAGTCATGGTGAGTATATGTACTTAAAAACCAGCCTGATTGACAAAATACTGAAAATGCTGTCTCCATGGGCGTAGCAATGAAATTACATTATGGAGAAATAATTTTAACGAATGCCTGTTTTATTTCACTAAATTAAAAAATCTAATACGACATTTAACACCATTCCCATTCTGTTCTTTGTATTACTATAAACTGTCAGCATAACTTACCCTATCTTTAATGTTTGGATCAGCACCATTAGACAATAAAACTGATACAACTTCATTATGTCCTCTTAATGCTGCAATATGAAGAGGAGTGTCTTCATTCTAACAATATAATAATATAATTAAGTCACATACATGTAACATTATTAACAGCATTAATTAGAGTAAAAATCATGAGTAGTATGGCAATAACTACTACATAACATGTACATGTACATACATAGCAGGAACCCACTATCAGTGGTAGATTATAACAAAGCAGACAGAGAGGAACAATAAACTAGTAAACACATTGCATTAATGAGACAAAGCGGTACATTGGCCTCACTGGAGCAAAAAATACACATAAATTAATAATTTCAAATCTTTCCTGCATACCGTTTGATTCACTGTAAAGTTAAATAATATACATGTACAAGTTATTTGATTTCCTTCAGGTTTGACTAGCTTTGTTTGAAAATTTAAAGGCGTTTGGGTGTGGCTGCAAACTGACAGTACAAGCCCAAGAGTTATCATGCCTGATTCAGGACTGTTGACCAAAATTATCTGATATTAGTGCTGATTGTGTTAACAAGAAACTAAAATTTGACAAAACTTGTGACTGACAAAAATTTGGAGCTATACAGTAGTCCACACCCATGCTAATCACTGGTGAGGCCAATGAACTCATTTATAGTATCCACAACTCCACAAGACACAAGTACATGCATGCATACATGTACTGCACATGCAAACAGCAAATTATTGATCAACATAAAATAATATGTTCACTACTCATGTACTTGAGTGTATATTGACTTACCCAATGATCCTGATCCTGATAAGTTACATTAGCTCCTTGTGATAATAATGACTGAACACTATTAATGTTCCCTTCTCCAGCAGCTTCATACAATTTCTTATTCTACAGTAAATCAAATAAACAATAATAAAACACAGCGTGAACAGATACATGCAAAGTGCATGGACTCATAACAGATGCTGCATATGAAACATTGCATTTTAGACACTTATAAGTACACATACATGTAGGAATAGTGACAAATATTATACTGTACATGTATATGTATGTGCACTGACTACTGACAAACAAATCATATCATTAATGATGATAATACATGTAACATTATGAAATGACACAGTATGTACATGTACATTGCATCATAAAACAGCTTATTTTCATGGTAAAATATATTTTTGTAAATTTTCTTTTTTGCTCCGATGTAAAAATTTAAAAAGCAAAATTTTGTATCTTTATGCCCATGTGATTTTAGAACCACTACCGTCTATCATGGCTATGGCTGTACTGTTTTGGAATGAATAATTAAAATTAAACTAATTTTTTCAATTAATACTAAACAGTGCTGAGTGCTGCAGTTCAAGCTATAGCCATTGTAGTGTTATAGCAGCAAAGGCACTTAAGGCAGCAGTAGGTACTGTATAAAAAAAAATTTTGGAGGGAGCTAAATTTGACAAATTGCTAAATTATGGTGATTGGCAAATTTGTGGC